TAACAAGTTGCCCTGGCTCTGTAACAACTTACCCCACTAAAAGGTACATTGTTACAAAGTCGAACTTTTCAGAAAACTAAATATTTCAGAATATTAATGAATTTATAGTGGAATATATAACGAAGAGAATGTGACCTGTCAGCTGACTTACAGATTTCTATATGTAAAGTCAAACCTTCATAAAAAAATTTTAAATAAAAACTGTCACGACTAACCCCGGTTTCCCTTACATCTCCTGGACAAAAATTTAGAATATTCACCCAACTGAAAGTTTAGTGTACATTTTCTCTTGAACATCACAGAGTATGAAACTTAACTGTGAGGCTTGATCATGACTTTGTGTAGGCGTCGAAACGTTGATACGGCGATAGAAACTCGGGAGGAGAATGAATGCGGGATCTTCTTCTTCATGGCACAAAGTTAAAATGTATCGACACTTTCTCTATGGCAGCTGATTGCTTCCTATGGCATCTCAGACTTTTCGAGAACTGCCTGCGTCTATATGGCAATACCAATTATGATAAGCTGCTTCCTATGGCATCTCAGGGTCTTCGAGAACTGCCTTCTATGGCACCTACGAAATATGGAAGACTGCCCAAATGGGGGGAAATCTTTTTTTTTTAGTCCCTTCTCTGACCAATACCATCCAAGACACACACGGGATGTGTGACAGGTGCAAAGAGGGTAAACAGACATATGGCCATCGAATTTGAAGATAAGATTGTATGGGAAAGGAAGTTGATTTCCTTTTTTCTCTAAAAATGATGAATAAAACTTTCCTTCATATAAACAACTTACAAAAATTTAATGCATTTTCTCTGCTAAATTAATTAAACAAATCCCGATTCTCACGACTCTAATAAAAAGTTTTATTGTGATGCAGATGCAGCCACACCGCAGAATATAAAAAGAAGGAACACAAGGTTTATAAATGAATCCCGTTACTTTATTAATAACTCTTTATTAGCATTTAGAGTTTTTTATGAAACTCCTCCTTACCCTTTGAATTAAGCTTTTTCACATTTTATAATAATTATTAATTAACTAATTCATAAATTATTATAAAACGTTTCAACAGATGGCGCGGGATGCAGTTTCACATTAGAAAGGCTATAATGAGAGAGTGGTCATATGGATAGTCGCTAGTAATGTTAGCAACTCGTTGCTGTATTTTTTCAGAGTTTTCGACAAAATGCGTATGTTATGCGTACATTTGCAGATTTTGTGATTTGTAAATTAAATTTCTCGGAATAAAGGTAAAAGCATGAGAAGCAAGCAAATTTTTGCCTTTCAGTTATATAATTTGAATAACATTAAATATTGTATCAAAAACTAAATTCGTAATAATTTTTTTATTAGTCAGCTTTTGTAAAATAATTTTTTGAGTTTATATTAAAAAACAGTATTACATTGAAATAAAATATCATCGGATATTTATTATTTCTATGTGTTACCGGCCAAACCCGACGAAAACCGACTATGCGTAGTATATACTAGTTTAGCCTAGGACAGAGATGGCGAACCTATGGCACGCGTGCTCAAAGTAACACGTTGAAGAAATCATCTTGCACCTAACGTATTATACGATTTCGGTTTATCATCATTTTCAATCAGGTTATTTACATTTACTTTAATTACAGCATATTAATTTATTTATTTAAATAGTTTTTAAAACTCTTTTTGCCTTGTGGGCACTAAGAGAGCTTTTTTTATTTAGCAAACTCCAAATGGAACAGCCGGGTGGTGAAGAATGGATCCCCACCTGAAAATTTTCTGGAGTTTTTTTTTATCTCGGGTCCACAAGAGCGATAACCTATCATTTTGACCGCTCAGCCATTCGGCCAAATTTAAATATAGTTACTAGAAGTCTAAAACTTCTGCACGCATAATCATTTTTAAAGAAAAGTATGCTTAATATGCTTACTATGTGGCATGCAGACTCAAAAAGGTTTGCCATCCCTGCTATAGGAGATGGATAGGAGACAATTCAAGCTGCCAGATTTATCGGTGAAGATGGAGAGGTGTGGGTCGGTGCCGTGAGGTTGGATCAGCTATCTGCTATCAGTTATTATCACTAAGTTGTTGTGATATTCTCCCAATTGGAGAGCTCTGTACATGTCCATTGCTTTTGCTGTATACTGCATCTCAAATCATCTGACATGACTTTGCTGAAGTTTGTAGCTGGATTGACTAAACTCAACACCTTGCAGATTGAGAATGTTCCATCAAAAACCAGTTTGAACAGTTTTTCACTATTATGTCTTGGAATAGTGCAGATAGGCACAAGGGGAAAATGCCCACCCATAGGAACCAGGTCTATGCATATCCCACTCTAGATTAGAACAAGGAAGAGATATTGAAAATTGGGCATGGAGATGTGATGTTTTCATGTCTTATTTGCTGAGTAAGGCCAGGGCACATGAGATGTACATTTGTTGGTATTATCTCTAGTGATAATAGGTGAGCCCTAGTATTAGCCTTATTAGTTCGTGTATTGGGCTAAAGTGCACAGGGATGGGTAGTTGAGAATGAAAACAAGTGCGTATGTCTGAATCCAATCACAGAGAGTTTATTGTCCACAATACTGCATTTCACAGTGAAACGATCAGTCGTATCATGTTGGAGATAATGATCATCACGTGACTAATTGTTCCACTGTTTGGCACCCTAAATTCTGCTATTGGGCACATGATAGTGTATACTATTCTCAGGAGGTCTTTAGTTCATGCACCATTCCTTAGTGACACAAAGTATTTAAGGAAGAATCATGGCTGGACCACCTGAAGTTCAAGATTGTCCAGGGTGAGCTGCACCTGGATGGCTGCCATTGGCTGGTGGGATCTTGATGTTATTAATCTGCTTTTATAAAGTAAAGTTTTTTTCGATCACTGTTTAGACATTATCACAATCAATCTCTTTTTAATCACTTTTTTCAAGATTTTAGGTCACTTTTCCACTTAGTAAACTGGAGTGTGAGTCCTGCCTCTACATTAGATAGAGGTCATCCACATATAGGACTCCAGTCATGTTGGGGTAGTATCTCCCACATGTCAGACATGTAGCAAATGAAGAGAAAGGGTACCAAAACACTTCCTTGTGGAACCCCTTGTCTGAATGTTTGGTATCCTCTCCAATAGACCTAGAATGACCAATTACTAGAAATTAAACTGACTAATACTGCAAACTGTCAAAGTGTGCTTGATGGTTATGCAATCTGTCAATCTCAATCTGTCAAACAATCAAGAGTTTAGAAGTAATTAGCAGAAGTCGCCAATTCCATACTGGTTACCATATTGATTTACAAAAACAGTCTATTAATCCTCGTTACGTTTAAAATATGCACACGCGAGGTAGTCGTCAAATTCGAAAATCTTGGTTCTTGTCCCTCGCCATCTAGGCAATTCCATTATGAGCATTTACGCAGCGAGCGCATTTTTTCACTGCGCAGGAAGTGCGAACTTACAAGCGTCGTTCCAACACCGAAGCGAATTTAGCGTTTGAACTCCGGAACGTTCGAAGTACGAGATACCACTGTAAAGGAGTCAATGTCCGATCGTTATTTTATGTTTTGGGACGTTATTTTTATTTAATTATTTTCTTTTCGGGGTTCTTTTTTTTTTACGGACAAACTCCTAAGCACCAGTGACCAAAAGAAAAAAAAATAAACTTAGTTTGCATCGGTGCCTGATCCTGGAACGTCATCCTATGTAAATTAAGACAGTGCGGAGCTGCACTGGATGTACAATTAAAAGCGGAACATCCACGACAGAGCGAGAAGGAGCTTCAGGTAACCAGGGTGGTAAACGTCAGTGATAAATTCGAGGAAATTGTATCGTTTGGCTGTACAATATTTATATTTGAGGAGGAGATAAAATTTTTTTTTATTATTAGAAATACGTACAAGTTTTTGATTATTGATTTGGTTATTACTTTACAATTAGATAACTTTTGTTCGGGTCAATTACCCCATTATTATTTTTGTTGTTAATAGAATTAAAGTTTATCTTTATTGTTCAGTATTGTCTGTGGTTTGTGGAAATTATTGGTTTATTTAAAGTCCAGGCCTGGTACTTACCCCATTATTATGTAACCTATTTTTGTTTCCGAAAACGGTGCGTTACA